AGTGCAATAAAATGGTAGATATTATTATGTGTTATCAATTTTACCAAGTTTATGCTTTTCGGGTTTTCGTAAACAAATTCTCGCACCATCCATTCATTGTTACCAGGAATTTTTTTTATTCAGTCTGAACTTTCCTTTATTTCTCAAGTATGCACTCATGGGCACTTACGGGTTCAAGAAATCAAGAAAATCATTCCAGTTTGATATAAGTTCAGGCTTTGAACCCTTCCATTACTGCTTCATAGACTATTGCCCGAAATTCGATGCAAAACAAGTATATTGACAGGAAAAAAAATCAGCCTCTTATCTTGGCATGTGACTTGTGCTTCGAATTCAAAATATTGCGATTCTAGCAGTGAGTTTATGAATCAGCCCTTTTTACACCGTCAAACAAATCAATCCACTGAGTTAACTTTAACCATTTTCATGTAAATCTGTTATGTTTGGAAAGTTTATTTATTTATTTCAAATGGCAGGCATTTTGATAGTTATCATTAGCCCTTTAGTTGACTTCGGGCTTCACAGAAGGGAGGAACATTAAAGTGAGAAAAATTGGACAGGGGAAAAGAAGAGCAATTCACAGGTGAAAAAGACAGACAGACACAAAGGCAGAGAAAAGGCAAGATGTGTACTGTGGAAGGGGTCGAATATGACATACAGTGGGGTTATGGTAGTTTGAAGTCAGAGGTCAACTGCCGGTTAATAGACTTTTTTGCCGTATGAGTATACGTTGTCCAGGGTGCACCACGTGGAGGTAAGTTTATCGTACACCCCTATGTTTGGAAAGAAACCTGTAGTTGTTGTAGGAAAATCATATGAAACAAGTCAAAATGGCTCTTCCAGAACTCAGGAAAGACATATTCATCTATTTAAATGTAATTTGCACTCATTTATCCTAAATCTCCTTATATGTTTTCAAAAGCTTTTGTTGTTGTTGTAAGTAATTGAACAATTTCATCAGAGCGATTCAAGAAAAAAAATCATTCACACTGTTTCTACTGACGTTTCACTTTTCTGGTTTTCATCAAACTGAATGATAGGATTGTAAGATTATTGGCAACTGATGAACTCAGCTACTACACGTGCTCACGAATGCGTGCTATAATTGAGATTATACGCTCTTCTCAAACGTTCGTTGCAAACACATACGTTGCACCAATCTATCTAGCAGTTATAAAATTCGTAAGTAGTATTCAACACAGTAAGAACTAGCAAACAATCGGTCTAATTTTCCATTAAAACTTGATTTACTCTCAAAATTACTACATGTTTGCATTCATTCAGTAAAAAGATTGTTACATTCCACACCAATTCCTTATGCATGAGAGTGAAATTTTTATTATAATAAGTAGAAACAAAATGTTTTCTAGAAAGCTTAGTAACTATTTAATCTAACTTATTGCATTGTTGTTAAAAAGAATGGTTAGCTTTTGCTTTATTTAGCTAAAACTGACTGAAATAGTAATTTTTATGAGAAAATTTAGCAATAAAGCAGTGGTCTTCTCATTTTCATCAACTTTTTTGGTCTACTTAAACCAGACCGTTAAATGCACAAAAAAATCATTCATTTTCTGTATTACTATGGTCGATCTATGAACTTGCATGTGGTATTTTAGATGTTCAGAAGGCTATTTCTCTCAAAAAAATATGAATTAGGTCTCAATGTCTTCCAGATAAAAAAAGTACATGTTACTTGATTCCAAACCACCTAAGTAATAATTGTGAGTTGTTTTAATGTTTTGTTGCTTAGAGAAGCTGTATGCCAAGTGATTTCAAGTACTCAGTAGTTGTTTTACAACAGGCTGGCATAAATAGCTCCATGTGTATTCTTTATTTTTGAAAAAGCACAAGAAAATAAGACCAAAATTGATTCAACAATTCAATTAAATTTTTTTAAGATATTCGTCTTTCCTACTTGGAAAGCTT